CAACTAAGCACATAAAAATGGACACACACACCCCACACATACTTTCAGTTCTCTGTACATTTGGTCCTAAGGTTCATGCTGCAGTAGGTGGATCATGAGTCAATAAAATCTCACTTCATACTTATGATGTTCTTTTTGGGGCCATAGGGAAGGAAGCTCTTCACCAGTCCAGCATTATGATAAATGACCCACCACATTAAAATTTTATCACGTAAAATGGAAAGGTCATAGTTCTGTCAGAAATGCAGCCCTAATTTTGAAGCCCATAATAGACACGTTCTAAATATCTTCTAAAACAAATACTATAATCAGGAAGGCTATCAGCAGCCCATGGAGAACCTGTCCTTTCACCTCTATACATTACCATTGCCAAGGTGAAAACGGGTCCTAGCTGGAGGACACAAAACGAATGTCTTTAATAACGGACATGAAATATTGATGTTCCCAGACGTAGGACCTTTAACACAAGTCAAAAAGATATACAGGGTGCTTTTCAAGAGGAATGGTTTGTTCCAGGTGAAAAATGAGCCAGTACTGATTGCATCTATCAAATATATGAATCCAGCAAAATGACAAATAATTCATCTTGTGGAAAATACTGAGCAATCACCAGGCTTGGATTGCCATCAAGAGCAAACTGATCAGATAGACGATGGATGGAAAGTGTTTTTGGGGTGTCTCAATTGACATGCATACTGAAGTATGCATGTTTGGTACATCTTAACATCTTGATCCTAAACATATTATGTGGAAGAAGCATACAGGAGGCATACCAGCGATGTGATTCTGTGATTAGTAACATATCAGTTCATGCAAAGCGTATTTTTATTGCCCACAGTCTTGGAGAATGCAGGAAGTCATTTTGGGATTTGGGGGGCAGGGCTCTTCTCAAATAATTTACCAAGCAGCAGAGTTTTAAAAACAGTTTGCTATATGACATGTGGTGGAAGATAGGAACAGCAAAAAAGGCCTGTTGACTCAGGAGACGCCATTTGGAAGGCATAAGGAATCTTTCTGGGTCAACGCCATAGTGTTAAATACTAGTTGGAGGAATTTTAATTTTTAATACAGTTACTCACTGTAAGAAGAGTAGTGGGTTTCAACAAAAAACTACAATGTAAATTTAATTACTTTATATCTAACAGTGAAATCTAATTCAGCTTTAAATAATCATTTAGAATGTTTAATATTGTATGTGCAGATGAATATGAGATAATAACATGATACTTAACAGTGTGCTAACTTCTTTGGCACCAGCCAAAGACTTACTGCTTTACCAAAAGTTGATTTCTTTACCAAAAGTTGATTTCTTTACCAAAAGTATGATTGTTTCCTGCTTTGAATTCTAACTGTCTGTGAGTTGTCTCGTGTATATTTGGTACCAAGAATGGGATGGAAATTTTGAAGAAAAATAGTATCTTTGCTTCCAAAAATCAGTTAAACTTTTAAGGAAAAAGGTCCTCTTATAGCATACATTGCCTATTCCCCCCCTCTGAATACTAAAGCTGTTGGACTTCTGTCCCTTTGTATCTTACTTAATCCTTCAGGGATGGTAGTGTGATTAATTTCGTGTGCTTTTTGTCTGACCCTACTCCCCC